TCCCATCCAGGGGGGAGTAAAAATACTCCTAGTCGCTTCATGCTACAGAAACCGGGATAAGCTCCGGCCTGATGGGCCACTTGGCTCACATGCAGACTTAACCTTTACCTTACCTTACCTTACAAGTTTACTATATGTACACTACATTATTGGCTTAGAAAACTCACGTCACTTTTTCATCCAATCAGAAGTAAAACCAAAACCAGTTATGACACATTTGTATACATTTTCCCACACATTGCCTCAGCTACATATAATTCAAGTGTTGATTCATTCACTGTATTGTCTGTGTCCTTTGTGATTGGCTAGAGTGATTACTTTGGTTTTGGTTTTACAACACTCAATTGAAAACTGCTCTATACCAAAATTTGATTCTGGTGAGTTAGCCTGTCAATTCACAGGGTTGTGTTACCAGTCTCTTTGAGAACTGTGTGATTTCTCTGAGAACTAACGTGTTTTGTGTGTTTCTTGCTGCTCTAAACGGAAGGAAGTTTTAGTATCAATGAAAAAGTAGTTGACACAGCAATATGAGAAACCTTCTATGTAAGTCTTTGTTCTTGCTGAAAATATATTAAGTATTGGGTCTTTTGTCTTGCTAGTTATACTTACCATTGATCTAGTCATTATGTTCAATGTCTATGTGCTCTTTAGGTCTTGCTTAGTATGGGTGATGTCTTCAGTCCATCATGTGCTCTGTTGTGCATTGAAGATCCCTTCACTCCAGGTACAGAGTAATCCTTCTTAACATGTTACGAATAGAACATTCTCTTCTCATTATACCAAGTTACACACTGAAATGTTTGCTCTTTAAAAGTTTTGGTAGTTCAAGTCTGCATAAGAACCGATTGGCCTATCAGGCCAGATGTTATCCTGGTTTCTGTAGCATGAAGCGACTAGGAGTATTTCTACTCCCCTCTGAATGGCCAATCTATGAAAACATGGCTGAACAACATGCATCATTTTTCCAATGTCCGTTTAATACAGGTTTTTAACAATAGAAGGGACCATAAAAGTTAAATTTTGAGATGTCTGTGTCCGCTTAATAGAGGTGTCCGTTGAATTCAGGCCTTTTTTACAGTAAATCTGGGGGGAGAAAAAGGGGACTTGTGCTGCAGTCTGCTTAATAGAAGGTGTCCCCTTAATATGGGGTCCGCTTAATGCAGGTTTGACTGTATTTGTTTTATAATAATATTGATCAAACTATTTTATATAGATTATAGTTAAACAGAGTATACATAAGGGTCACATGACCAAACTAACAAAACAAAATAATTTTTATACATAATACATGTGACTATTTGAACGAAGTCACTTGGAAAATAGTTAACCATTCAGAACCTTACTTGAGAACAAAGGATAGCGATCTTTTTCTAGAAATACGGTATTCCATACGTGTAGTTCTTCTACGTTTGCAGGAATGGTATTTGACCCTTTCAAGGCCTTTTTTTAATAAGGAATATTACTATGACTCTTTTACAACGAATACTGAGGGAACCTGTTTTCAGCGGACACCCTGTATTAAAGTGCCACTAACCCCAAAACATTTTTTTCCTTTAATAAAATCTACTAGTTTCCCTGATTACTTCAGTGAAAAATTATCCCGATTGATAAAATCCCTGCATTTCTACAAGCGTTTAAACATGTAATTTCTATGTTCACGACCATGCAAAGCGGGATCTGGGTCAAGCTACTAGTGACGTCACTTCGGGAACCGGGCTAAAACACTCAAGAGACTTTTGACTGAGCTTCGAGGGCAGTCAGAACATTTTCGGGGTATTTGTGATTCATATTTTATCAAAACTGGACAAGAACTTTAAGTGAAAGAACTGTATCATCTAGNCTCGTCCCATTCTCCGCTATTCCTCGGTCGTGAACATGGAAAAGGGTAAATTTGCAAACTTTAAAAATTCATAGAAAATTAACGAAAATAGCTAAAACGATAATTTTTTCGCAGTGTTGATCAGGAGAAAAAGGAAATTTATATTAGCGAAAAAAATTTTTGGGGTTAGTGGCACTTTAAGTGGAGGGTCCCAAGGGTGTCCACTTTATACATGTTTGACTGTAAATACAATGATATAGTTTCTGAGAGTAATCCTACAATACCCAACATTCCTTTAAATGGCATTTGACACAATGTATAATTCATTTTCTGTATTAAGCAGACATAAGAGTATAAACTCTACATAAAGGGTTTTCTCCTGTGCGTGGTTCTGTTTAAAGTAGAATTCATTCAAAAAGCAAATACACCCTGTCAGCTTTCCAATGCCTGCAGAGGTACAAAATAATTGATATAAATTAATGTTATGCCAGTCATTACTTGGATTTGCTAAGGTTGTTTCAGTTGCCAACAGTAATTTTATGAAATTCATGTATCTTTTTGTGTTCTTGTGGCAGGTAACTACATAGGTAAGAGTTCCTATAAATTTATGGATGTCAAACAAGCATTTGAATTTGCCTATCAAACCTTGAGCAAAGCTGTTTTGAAGGATTTTTCTAATACCCATGACAGGTAAGAAAGTGAAAACCATGGCAAGAGTTAAACGCATATGTAGAGACTGAGATTTATTGAGAAGTTTATATGAAGCTAGCGGAGAACTAACAAGTTTTCCTTAGTTAATGTTTTCCATTCTATTAACCCCTTAACTGGCAGTTTGCCACTTCAGAAACAAGAAGGAAACTGGAGCAGGTCTCATCTTGCAGTGGCTTGTGAGACCTTTACCTGGGACAAAACAAAAGACAAGAAGCTATTAAGTTCCCAGTAATGATCCCACAAGCGACTGATTTCTTCTTGTTTCTAAAGTGGCAAATTGCATATCTGTAATAGGACCTGCAGTTAGCTCTTATTAACCGAGCAGGAGGTCTGTATGGGAGAATCTTGACCAAGGTTGTGTCTGTAACCATGACCGAGGTCAAGATTCTCCCATACAGACCAACTAAGTTCAGTAAAGTTACTTCCCACCTTCAAGAGTGAAAAAAATCATTTTTTCTTTTATTTGCCTAAATTGAAGTTTATCATTTTATCTAACATTTACAGAAAAAAAAACTTAAAAATCTCAAAAATCGCTGACGTTATTCAACAAAATTTGTTTTCCAATAAAAGTTAATGAATAATGAAGGTGTCAAAATCTCATAAGTAGGTGACGTCTCGAAGGAAATTTCGTGGGAAGCGGGTTCTTATTTCATGTGATTTGCATATTTTCTTTGTGCATTGCGCATTC